GACTACTGGAGCTGGCGCATAATGTGTTGAACGCGCAGTTACTTGGTTTTCAGTCTACGCGGCCAGCTGTCTGAAACTGAATCGCACATTGGTTCCCAATTTCTGATACACAAGTTGGGAGCCTTGCGCACGTTAAAGCGTGAAAAAGAGCAAATGAAGTGCAAAATGGAAAGGAGGACAGAGTGAAAATAAAAGGAAAGAAGTAACGGACAGTGTGCTATCCCCCCGCATTTGTCAGCTCTCTTTCTGTTTGTTTGCGTGGGTTCCCAATTGATAGCTGTGCAACTGAGAGTGTGCTCTTCCCATGTTTTACTTGTCTCTTTTTTCTGGTTGTTTGCTTGCTTGGATTCCCAGTTAATAGCTGTGCGAGTGTGCTATCTTTATATCTGTCGTCTATGTGTCTGTTTGTTCACTTCATTCTCCCAGTTGATAGCTGCGCAGCGATCTTCAAGGCGATATAAACTGTTTCGTGTGGGCTCGGGCGGGGACTACCGTAGCAGCGGTCTTATGGTGGAGTGCGGTAGAGATGCTCTCGGGTATGTCAATACACGTACGGCATAAGGTTGTACCTGTCAGAATTGGTCTGCACATACTTACGCACGCCCGGAGGGAGGGCGTGCCCATCCGCGGAAGGCAGTGGGGTGACCGTGTATTGATTGCCAGTCGTATCCTCCTGGGAATAGATCGTGAGCTGCCTAGTAGGATGAGATTCCTTGGTCGTCCAGGTGAGAAACCTTCGGCGAAACCCGGACGCATCAGGCGTCTGAGCCGTGTCAGACGGAGGGAAGGTCGCCGGCTGGTGCAAGCGGTAGATGGATGGCAAAATATCCTCTCGTCTCCTATTAGCGCTATTATTACCGCCCCCCCCCCTCTGTCGCCCGCAATTGTCGTCTCTCTGTCGCGTTCATCTGTTGCATCACTGCCACCTCCTCCCAGTTCAATCTTTCCATGGCTGTTACCATCATTTCATCAGCGCGCGCATGTTTACTGCATTGCCACCACTTAGCACAAGCTGTAGGCTTACATCATCTCGTCATATCTGATCATTTATGGCAATCAATCTTTCCATGTGTGTATTATATTATCACCGTCATCATCATCAGCCTGTGCGCTTCGATCTCCATGTCAATAAGACTTCTTCATTATGATCTCATCGTTGAATCATGTGGCTGCTATAACTTTTGCCTTCATGACATCAACAAGCTGGTCTTGTGTACCTCACTTGGCTTTAATACAGTCTGTGTTGCTGTCGTCGTCGCTGCCATTGTGATCATCTCTGTGTCAAGATCGTATCTTCCACGTCTTCGCTCTTCAGACGTAAATGGGGAGGGTGCCTCTGGTGCTGCCGTTCCCTTGAAGTGAGGGCGACACAGCCCCGAGGCAGTCTCTTGATTAGAGATCGGATAAGCAAAACTGTGGGAAGAATTGGGGCCGCATATGGCTCAGCGGAGGATACCTGAAAATAGGGGGTTGTTAACCATTAATGCCGCCTTCACCCGAATAGTGCGCCTGGTCATTATGACTGTACCGAGACTGAGAGCTGCTCCAAATACAGATATAATTACCAGGCGTTCTATGTGGGTGTAAACGAGTGTGTTGTCCTTCCAGCTGTCCCATCGTGTATACTGTGCGCAAGGACAGGAGTAGTTGATTATAGGGTGTAACAGTTCAGCGGCGAACCAGCGCTGGAGGGAGGGGAGGGGGCGAAGCGAGGGGTGTGTTTGGAATTTTTTCCTCGGGGTGTATCGATCAGAAACTGAAATTCGCATTTCGAGTCAATGCTTGGGCTCAAATTAATATCTCTCACTGCTGCCGAATTCCGCACCAGCGCACTCAGTCGATGAAGGCATCACTCGATCGCCAAATCTATTGTGTTAATTGTATCGTCGGGCAAAGCTCGGCGGGAAGAAGTGGTTTCCCTTATTATCCCTACCAGTCCCCTGTTCTTTTGCGGGGAAACATCTTGTCGAAGTCGACGTGGAGTGATCTACCCTCCTGTCGGAGGACTTGGCTTTTGCGCCACTGCACATTTCTAGCCTGCGGAGTCTGGGAGAAAGTTCCATGTAGGGGCTCTAGCTTTATTCTCCTGAATGAAGCCTATCCAGCCAATTTGCGGTTACAGTGGCTTTTTCAAAAGGGCTGTGAAAGACGTGAATGGATCATGTCGAATTATGGTCGTGAGAAACAGATGTGAGTGAGGGCGAAGGAGCAGGGCGTGTAGACGGTCGAAGGGTGGTAGTGATGGCGGCGGGGAATGAGTGGTTTTGTAAAGTACGGGCAGTTTGTTCTGGTTACTCTCTTGTTCCGTAATGTAAGCACTTGTCCGTTGTCGGACGCGCTCCAAGTCACATCGCGAACAGACGTTTTCCAAGACACAGACAGTACGGTTGTGAGAACGTGAAATCACCGTTAGGCAACGGGAAGTTACTTTCTCCACAAAATTCAACATCCCGGGAGGTGGGAAATGCAAGTTGCGCTATGGGCGGTCGTTTGAGTGTGGTGGTGTATACACATGTTACCCCCTTGGCCATCTACCTTTGACGTTCGTGGCCGGAATTTCGGCGCGATTTTTGGACCGAAAACGGCAGCTACTGTGTTCACGCCACCATTAGGACCTGACGATTTCGGTTCAAGAAACTCTGAAATTGCGGCTAGGAACGCCGAAATTAAATCCCCAAAGGAGTATTGTATATGTGTGTAGCCAGTAAGAGCAAAAGGAGAAAATGACATTGTCATTGTCATTGTTGTGTAGCGACGTTCACTGGTCGCGGCGGTGCGCTGTGAAAAATGGTGGAGAATGCGGAAAACGGCGAATGATATTTGGAGGCGAGAGATGCTCTTACTCTATATTAGTAGTAGCATCGTTTATGAAATTGGGGCTTTTTCGTCTTTCTTCTTGATGTTATTACTATGATATGGTATCCGCATTATTTGTCGCTTCGTCGTTGAGATGAAAGAAGATGTAGTGGAGTAATTGATCATCATCATATACACGTAGGCGCTGAGTAAGTCGTGGTGGATCGGGATGGATGATGCTAAGGTATTATTGTGGGTGGGGGGATCTGTTGTTGTCGTTGCCGTCGAGTGCGTGGGTGGGTCCAAAAAAAAGAACATGGAAAACGAAAGGCTCATGCATGGGGCGAAGCAAGTACACTGATCGCGCAGCAGCATGTGTGTGTATAAGAAGAATGACATCTCGATCCTCCACCCTCCGAAAGTGTAAACGAAAAGTTGGACATTCGTCTCCGAAAGGAAATTCATGTTGAATCGTACTGACTGTAATGTGTCGGACGCACAGCTGTCCTAACGATTGAGGATGCGTCTGCGAGCGCGTGCTAACGGGCGAACCATTGATTGCACGGCTGTCACGGCCCGACCAAAATGCAGCTCTCGAAAATTGGAGCTGCCGTGGAGAGCACTGCCGTGCAGTGCAAGTTGCAGGCAGCCAATTCTCCAATTTTGGCGAGAATTGCTTCCGACCACTAACCGAACGTTTCTGGTGGTCAGTTTTGGATATTGGTTGTGGCCGTCAGCGAACTCACCGAAACAATGATGGGAACGGAAATGAATGATTTATTTTTTTTATGAGGGATTTCTGCATACGGTGGAGCATGCGGAAAAAGAGGGGGCATCTCTGCACGCGGTGATTCGTTTGTGTATAGGGTGGTGATTAAGTCGTCGTCTTTGATCAGGGTTGATGGTGCAAAAGTGGTGCAATGGTACATGATGGATGTTATGTATGATGGATGATACGTATGTCTGGAGTCGTCCGTTATAGCATCCTGCTGTTTGTTACACCTGCACATTGATGATGCGGTGGGCCTATCCTAGCCGGGCTCCCCTGTCCATGAAGCTTCCGGTGGATTTTGAATTGAAGCTTCCTGCTGCGTAATCTCCGCTTGTTTGTTGTGTGGCATTTGCTCCCTGCGCCCTCTCCCTTTATGTGTGAAGGCTCCTGTGGATGAGAGCAGAATCGCTCTCTCAGGTAATCAGTTACCCTATGGTTTTGCACGCAAACGTACTTCATGTACGACGACTTCTCCACAGTATATCTTATCTCCACCCACCGTATGTCTTATCTCTTCATTTGCTTTCCATTCCCTGATATCTGGACTTTACGCTCCCCTCTGTCCGCCGACCCTTACGTATCTATCTACTGGGCTCTTCTTCCTCGCAGCTGGGCCTGCTTGCAACGATTTCTGTTCGCTATGCGTCATCTCGTGCTTAGCAGCTCCGTATTCCTCCGCTTGCATTCTGAAGGCGCTAAGGGCCTTGATTGATGGGTTGTTGTCATGGCGCAATAGATGTCTTCTTGCTCTCTGCAAGGCCTCTTCCTCTCCATAGAAAACAGCAGCAGCTTCGGTGATACAAGCTTTCTGCGCACTTACCAGAACTTGGGTTTCCTGGAATTCGGGCGGGATGGCGAACGAGCGAGCGAGTTCATTAATGAGGCTGGCTTTTTTCGCGCGTGCCGTTTGGACGCAGGCATCAACCGAGCGTGGCACGTATCATCACTGAATCTCGATACAACCAACAGTCGAGCAGTCGCCTGTTGATTGCAGCAGCACCAGAGGCGAGGAGTAAAGGAGCAAAGGAGGATGCGGGTGGTTTCCAGTGGGAAAGAGCAGATGATTCTGGTAATCGAGCGACTCCTTGAAGAGAATTAATTTAGCTTGGGCGCCCGACGGGCGTGATTGCTTTGCTTGCTGTCACAGGTCGTCGGGAGTTAACTTGTTGCTGAGACGGGTCAGCTTGGAGTTTTATCTTTTAACTTTCTTGGTGTCTTGCAGGTAGAACGACCATGCGGATGTGCTAGCTATCAGAGCTCGAGAGGTACATTTTCGTCCTCGCCACACACGAGGAAGGGTGGGGCGTTTGGAGAGGGGGGGGGGAGAGAGAGAGAGAGAGAGAGAGAGAGAGAGAGAGAGAGGCGTTTTTTCGCTGTGAGATTTTCTCCGACCTGGCGATGTCCTTTCCATGGAACTCCATTAACAGGTGCAGGAGGAGGTGGTGAAGGTTAAGTCGATCTTTTTCTGGCGGGGTCGCCCTACTGTTTTTGTTCCTTCCCTTTTCTGCGTTCCGGCGCGGCTGTACGGTCGAAGTTCTTTTGATTGCTGAGTATTAATTAGCCGATCAACTTATACAATGTCCGAGAATCGCACCTCCTCTTCTTGCCGTGAGCGACGGAAGCGGAAATGGGATGTCCCGGGTTCCGAGGAATCAACGGCGTCCGCATCGGTTTCCTCGTCGGCAGCGGTGACGCCCGCCCCCGTTGTCCCGAGTCTGCTTCCTCTCGTGGGTGCCTTGCCGGGTGTGTTTCCGTCAGCCGCGGCAGCCGCCGTGGAGCCGGTGGTGGCCGCAGCCGTGGTGCAGCAGAGTGCGGTGGCGATCGTTCAGAAGATAAATCAAGGGCTGGCAGCGCGCGGTGTGCTTCCTCCGCTGAAAGCTCAGGATGAGGTCGTTGCCAAGGAAATCGTCATTAACGACGCGGAACCGGGAGTGAGGTATAAACTGACTAAGCGCCAGACGCAAGAGGACATACAGAGCAAAACGGGGGCCGTCGTCATCACTCGTGGAAGGTATAAGGCGCCGGGAACGGCTGCCGATCCTGGAGGGGAAAAGCCACTGTATTTGCACATCTCGGCGGGAGTCCATCTCAAGGACACGAAAGATAAGGTGAAAGCCGTCGATCAGGCGGTGGCCATCGTTGAGGAAATGTTGAAGATCGGGCGGTTTGCGCCACCGTCGGCAGTCGCAGCTTCAGCAGCAGCAGCGGGAGGCGCAGGCCAAGCTGGAAGTGGATTGGGAGGATCAACTACTGGAGGCCAAGGCCAAACCAATCCCCTGTACGGGCAGGCTCCGCTTTTCTATCATCACTCCACAGCAGGCTCGTCCGCCGTCACGTCCGGCGGCGGTTCTACTCCCCTGACTGCGGTGGTCTATGCGGGCTTCGAGGCGGACCGGTCGTTCAATCTGGGTGGCCGCGTTCGTGGCCCAGATGACCGATTCATCGACCACATCGCGAAGGAGACGGGCGCCGCGGTTGTGCTCAGAGGTATGGGCTCGGGGGAACGAGACCCGATAACGGGTCAGGAGATGCTCGAGCCACTCCATCTTCATATCACGTGCAGCAGCCAGAAGGCGCTAGACGAAGCGCGATGGCTGGCAGAGAATCTGATGGACACGATCAGGAACGAGTATTATCGTACGAATGCAGTCACGGCTCCCAACCAATCGATGATCGAGAACCCTAACCATCGGGGTACAACGTCCAGAGTCTCGCAACAACTTCGCATGGGTACAACAGAGAATCATTCTTCCTCGTCCGGATACGGAGCATCAGGGATGCCGGTGTATGGTACTGCGATCCCGGCGTATCATCAGGTCTATCCTGGAGCGGGGGTGGGTGGTGCAGCTGGTGGCGGCTTTCCCCTAGGGTTATCGCCTGGCGTGCTTCATTCGGCGCCGTTGGCGGCGGGGTCGGGCATGGGGAGGAGCTCATCTAATACGGTTGCGATGGACTGGGGGCCGATTAGAGGACCCAACGTGAGTGTGACTACGACCGCTGCCGTGGCAACAGGGACGAAACGTTACTCCGCTGTGCCACCCCCGCCACAGCTTTTGGCTGAGCAGAAAGCCTTGGGTGAAGATAGCGAGCGGGTGAACCAAGCGGCGGCGTCCGCTTCGAGGTCGGGGAGTGAGTCATCGGCGATCGCCAGTGCCTCGTCTTTAACGAAAGCCGCGGGGCGCGGTACAGAAAGCTCGTCGTTGGCGAATACTAGTAGCAGTTCCTCCTCTTCCTCGTCTTCTTTGTCGTCCTCTTCCTCGGGTTTTGGTTCCATCTCGACGTTGTCGTCATCGTTGTCCTCGTTATCGAAGTTATCAGCAGCAGCGGCGGCCGCGCTCTTTGTCGGCGCTGCTTCTTCCTCCGGATTGAGCGCCCAGCCCCACTGCATGATATCCACTTCCTATGCTGCGCAGTCTCCGGCGTCGTCATCTGCGGCGGCGCCGTCGCCGTATAGCTACGCCGGATACGCAGTACGTCCGCTCATGGGAACCGCGCCCGGCCCGTTTCCTTTCTGCCAGCCAAACACGACTCTGTCCACTCACTCGTTGCCCGCCTCCTTCGGCGCCGCGTTCCTTCCGGGTCCTCCACCTCTCAGTGGCAGCCAAGCTTGGGCTTATCAGCACCCGTCGAGTGGCGGCAGTTCGTCTGCTCAGACTCTTCAGCGTCCACCCCCTCCAGTGTCGGTGAACTACAAGACTACATCCGCGTCGTCGAGCGGGGTTGCGGGTTCGTCCTCATCTCACGGTCCTGGCGGCTCGGCGCGTGGCTCCGATGGCAAGCACTCAGACAGTGCTCATCCGCCGCAGAAGCGCAGGTTCCAAGAGTTTCCCAAGGAGCAGATACCTAAAGCGGCCGAGTCCAACAAGGAGAAGGATGATCATACTGGTCGACATCGACAGGATGCTACTGTCGCTGGGCTTTGCTCGGCAGGTTCCGCAAGTGCAAATTCAGCTGCTGATCACGTGAGCTCAGCTCAAGATCAAGCGAGGCTGCTGAGTACGACGGGTCCTGGTGGAGGGGTTCCGATGATGATGAGCAAGGACGCTGTGGATGTGGCCCCGCCCCCAGGAGCACATGCTTCCTTGTGGGGTTCGAGCAAGACGGGAGCTATCACCACCTCCTCTCCTCCGAGGCCGGCTGCCCAGGGGGCAGCAGAGTACGGGGCGAGAAATTGGCATGCTGTGCAAGGACTCCCGTCGTCGTTTTCGAAGTCTACAATGAATCCTCCCTCCTTTACTGTGAACCCTGCGTTTTCACATTCTCCGTCAAATATCCCACCGCTGCCGTCGGCGGTTGCTAGTCATCATTCGATGGGGCTGGCCTTGTCGGCAGGATCGAGATCGGGAGCGTCCGGGAGTGAGGAGAAGTTGAAGCTGGTGGACTATGGAGAGGAGGAAGAAGATGACACTGGCGGCTTGTTTTCATCTTCGGGCAAGGGGGCATCTCCGCTTCCGCGGCTCAATGGATCGGCGGCAACCGCCTATGGGAAACGCTACGGGGCGGCGTGAGGAGCTTCACCACATCAGCACAGCGCTGTCTTTCGGTTGAGTTAGAGGAGGTAATGAAACACTACTACTGCTGCTGCTCTCCCACATCCCCTACGACTACCACTACTACCAACGCTCCCTCTATTGCCATCGTTTTGAGTTGTATATTCTGCTACTTTGCCTTTGCGAGTTCAGTGTGAATAGTTTCCGCGCTTATCATTTCTTTTAAGAGATTCGTTTTTTCTGTCCCCCCCCCCCCACCCCCGCTTTGTTCCCTCTCGGGCCGTGGCATTCATGTTGCTTTGCCTCTCCGAGTTTAGTGAATGGTTTCGTTCCGCCTTTCATCATTTCTTGTAAGAGCTTTTAGTTTTCCTCTATTCTTTCTCTGCTCGTGGCGTTCATCTTGCGACCTGCCTGCCGTTCGTGTTCACTACAGCAGCCGAGTCAAGGCCATGATTCTGCACACTGATGATCTCTGAGGCACCGACGATAGCAGACACCTCTGAAAGGTGTCCGTTCTGTCGTCAGAAATTAAAACCGCGATCGTCAGTGCGCCACCTGTGCCTGTAGAGACCCGCACTGTGCCTTTAGAATGTCCCCGTCTCGTCACTGTTTTCTTGCGTTCTCATTGGTGCTCGCTGACGGGTCTTCTGCCTGCTGCTGGTAATCCAGGCTCTAATAAGATGCTGCGTTAACTGGTGCCATGCCTTTTCTCGGCATTCTGTGCGTTTTTCCCGGAGCTTTTTTCCTTCACGCTCTGCTCTTTTGCATCCGTGCTGGTCCTCCAGAGGAGTGAGTCTCCAGGGATGTGACAGCTGTGTTCCACCGTGCTTCGTCCCTAGTATTGTTTTGTTTCCCTTGAGTTATTTCGTCCCTTCCCTACTCTTCTCCCATGTCCGCTGTCAATGCTACTCCGTGCTCATTTGTCCTGTTGGTGGTTTCTTTCGTTTCTGGCTCTTTCCTTGTTGTGGGGTGTTATTGTTCCTGTTACGTTTTTCAATGCGGCCGGAGAGGTGGTCGCATTTTGGAGTGGATCTGTGGCTTGCTGCTGTGCTACAATATCGATTTTCCTCTGGGTAGCATACCTCTCTCCGTCTATGTTTCTCAGACGATGTTTGGTATTGTATCGCTCTTAGGCGATATTTGTTGTTGTATCGCTCTGTCAGTCTTCTATATGTGCCTGCACACCTCGCATCAGATTTGCAATGTATGGTGACTGTTTCGCTCGGCTTAAACCAGCGTAGTGGTGATACATGTCTCGGTAGCTTTTGGTTGCCATACTATCAAATGCATCATCAGAAAAGTTCCTGGCCGTTGACTTCTTCGCTTTCACTCAAAAGCTCCCTGTGCACGGCCGGTTTCCGTGTTTGCGTCTGCCAGGCCTATCATTTTTGAAATAGGGAGTTGCTCACTGTATTGTAATTAATCTGATTTAATCAGTATTCGAACTCGTGACCATTCAGCCACATGGTCTGGGTTTCCCTTGCTCGGTGGGTTGGAGGTGTGTGCTTAGCAGGTGATGTGGGCATCATTTTTCTGTGGAAATGTGTAGATTCGTTGGCCTTCTGCCTGACCACCATCAGGAACTTGATGCCGGGCGAGCATCCAGCATCTGCTTTTCCATTTCTGATTCTGGTTTTATTAGGGCGTAGTAGTCACACTTCATCTTTCTCAAAGCGCACAAAATACCGTGCGGACGTGAAGGTGATGTGCTGGCCACTTCTGCCGGACCACCTGGAATCTGATTCGGGATCTGTTTTTCCCTTTCTGGATCTCTTGTTCTCTCTTTTTTTTTGTTGTGAAGGCATGATCACCTCTTCCGAAGACCCTGACAAATGTTGGACGTGAGGGAAAAAAGACTGTATTCTCACGTGAACACAAAAGTTCTTTGTATTGTCTTCAGGAGTGGGTGAACGACGTAGAAAAGAACCGGACCTCCCTTCCGAGGTGGTTGTATTTGCAACTCTGGGCCTTGTTGCACTCTCGGGAAGGAAAGTCGGATGTCGAGGTCTGATTGGGTTGAAAAGAGCATGCGTGACAACTTTCAGCGTCACACATTCGTGAGGAAAATATTGGTTTATGATCTCCCCCCCTGACCAGTCGGATGAAAATACGTGATTGGTTGAAAAGAGCATGCGTGAGTAAATCAATTGTTGCATGCATCAGTTGCCAGGGAAAAAGGTTAGTCCGGTGTTCCCTTATCTTTAATTTTCTTTCCGTCTCGCCTGCCTTCCTGTCTTTCGCTTCTGTTATCACTGCCATGCTCTTGTCTTTTTCTGTGACAGTAAATGTGTCTTATGTCGTCACAGTGTTGTGTTGCTCCCTTTTCCCATTTCCATCTTTTTTCATGTCTCTCTTCTTATGGGCAGTGTCACTTCCTCTCTCCTTTTCTTGTATACGCACACCCTGCACATCAACCTCCACCATTTGCCTCTTGCTACTGGAAATTCTTGCTTGGGCAGTCGTTGGGTTTCTCGTTTGGCTAAGATTGTGGTGAGTGGTTAATTTTTTTGGACAATACACCCCTGCTTTGGGCCTCGTAGTCTCAAGTGGTGCAGAACTTGTGCCGAGCATCATTGAGGTGGGGTGTACTGATGTAGCCGGCAATCTCTGTTCTCCCGAGATATCGTCAAGATTTCTCTGTCCAACGCTTTCACAACAATGTCTTTGTACTTCAACATTGCTCTATGATTTGTCTATTAGACTCTCTGTATCTAATTCCATCACATGTATTCTCACGTCTGTCTGGCCAGTATCTCTCTCCTCTGCTGTTTTTCTCGATGTTCTTACCTTGTAACGAATGAGTGCTTGGTCAGACCCTTTTCCTTTGTTTCCATTTGGCTTGGTGTCTCTCTTGCTTTGTGGACGCTTCCGTACTCCTTCGCCTTAGCTCTGGTCACCCCTTCCTTCCCATTTTCTTATCTACCTTAATCCATTCGTCTGTTTGGTTGCCTGTTGTACCGTCCATTTTACGTGGCGTGTCTTTGTGTCCCTCTTGTTGGTGGAAGCTCCACCTTGCTTCCTGGCACACCTGTCCTCTCCATTGTTCCCATCAGCCTGCCTACCTTCTTTACCGCCTGTCAATCCATCCTTTGTTTGGTTGGCTGCCTCTTCTTCTGCTGTGACTGCATACTGCGGGTGTTAGCTCCCATTTCTCAATAGAGAGAGACTAGTATTCTGCACGGTCTGTGTACTAGTTGTAACTCCCTGGTGGGGAAAATGTCTTCTATGTGGGTTTGCTGGAACAAAGAGCTCACAAGTTTTATTCATTCCTTTTCGATCATTTCAGGTAAGGGGTATCCCTTGTAGGCTCTGGGAATGAACTTGACTGGTTCCAGTGATAGGGGGTGACTGCTTGCTGGCATGTGTTGTATTGACAGTGCTGAGATTGATTTAAATTCTCAGGAGGAACTTGAGTGGTTCCAGAGATGGCTTGTGTTGTAATGACAGTGCTGAGATTGATTTAAATTCTCAGGAGGAACTTGAGTGGTTCCAGAGATGAGAATGATTGCTTGAGCGAATCTGCTGAACTAACAATAATGAGAGTGTTCAGAGTGTTCATTGTCGTATCAGGGTTGGTATCCACTTCATTTGGCGTCCAATGACATCACTGAAGGGGATATCAGCTACCTGCCTGCTTGACTGGTTGATTTTGTAGATCTTGATCCCTACCGGGGCGTGGTATGGAAATGTCTGGGGAGGGTGAAGCATAAGGCCGGTTTGAACCAGGGTCTATTCCAACTCTTGTAAGAACGCGATGGGAAGTGGAAATTTTAACGAAGACCTGATGAACAAATTTCAGGACTCAGGAGATGGGGAGTTTATGCCGTTACTTGCCAACTCCTCCAGACGATTCTGTTTGACACTAGATATGACCCTCTCAAACCACCAGTACTTATGATCCTCTCCCTGCCAAGCCCAGACATACCGTGTGCGCTAGAAAAAAGATGCTGCACGGTTGCTTTTAACACTGGTGCCTGCTGACAGCCATTTAGCTCCAGGAGTCCGTGCCCTGCGGTGGCGTGTGCTAGAAAAATGGCTGGGAAACTTACTGGCGGTTTAACCTTGCCTACAAAAGCCATTTCTGCCATCTCCATTGCATGAACATTCTCTATCCCAGATGATTGTTGCAAAAGGCTTTTATGGGCTGCTGCTTGCCTCGTTTAGAAGGAAAAACGGAGGGAGCACTGGGCATTGTTTTGGGAATCAAAGTGGAAGAGAAGCTATGTTTTGATGATAGTAAGATGTGTGTTCTCTGTGCTAAGGGCGTCGTTTTGGAAACCAAATTGGAAGAGAAGCTATGGTTTGATGAGAGCAAGATCCGTGTTCTCTGATGAAAGGCTGAATGAGAAAGGAAGGAAGAATGGTGGATGTTATAGGAGGTGATGGCGAGGTTTAGAACGAAGACAGGATGTATGCCAAGTGAGAGAACTTTTTGCAGGGAGTGCCAGTCACAAGAAAACGTTCAACTATAGGGGAAGCTGCATTGACAAGCAAGGGATGTGGATGAGGATTCACAAAGGAGAACTGGGAATTCCTTGGAAAGGGGAAATAATCAAATGAAGGTGCGTCCGCGAACAGGAAGTAGGAAACATTCAGAAGGGGAAAGGAATGTGAATGTGTGCAGATGAAAGACCGTGGAGGGACCTTAAGAATCGAGGAGAAGCAGCATTTACAACCAAGTGATGCTGGAGGATAAGGACTTGTGCGGGAAAGCTAGAAGCATTTGGAGAGTGGCAATCAGAGAAATAAAACGAAGGCAGGCCCGAAGGGGAGTGGAAAAGAACAGGAAGTAGAATTACGCTCGTGGAAAGGAAATGCATCTGCGTGCAGATCAGAAAGCTTTCTGAAAACTTTTTGGACTGAAGGGGGAGTTGGGAAGTGCCACCCGACCCTTGCGAAGGTTTACTGTGCTGGCTTTCCCCTGGATTCGGAGGTGATGGGACTCATTTTTGCAGGGAAACACCTTCCTTGGTAAGTGGGCAGGTTAGGAGTGGTCTCACATCCTACGTGAATAGTGATATCGTTAGGATGTGAGACTTGCAGGGAAACTTCTTCTTTTCTGTTTAAGCACGTGTATGCGTGGACAATCTGGCCCATGATGGCTTTTGCAGACTTGACCGTTGCTGCGTTTTCTGTGTGTTTCGGGTCTGTGTTTTTTTTTTTGGGGTTTGGTTTTGGTTTGTTCTGTGTCTAGCAGAAATTGGCGACGTACGCGCTAAGTGCAAGCGCTCCTGGCCTTCAAGCGAAAGGCTCGCTGACATCAGTCTCCTGTGATGCTGACTATTTTGCTGCCTTGCAGGAACATTTTGTGGTTCTTCTTAGCACTCTGGCTCTGCTCTTGGCTGTTTTTGGCCTGTAGCCTTTCTTGTATGGACGATTTGTACTTATTGGCAAAACAGTGACTGTTGTTTTCTGGTAGTAGGCTCTTATTGGACAGAGCTGATTGCAAGGATAACCACTCTTCTTTAAGAGGCTGTTGATGTCATCATGGTATTGGCCTTTATCGGAAGGGTCACAGGGTGGATGGCGAAGAAACTTCCTGGGTGGCTTTGGTGAGAGCCCCGTGTAGGAGTCATTGTGATGACCATCAGCTTCTCTGAGTCCTTGGTGCAATGCATCCGAAGGAGCGTATCTCTTGATCCTTCCCAACACGGATCATGAAGGCCTGCAAGTCAGCCGCTAAGTTTTCTTATTCACTGTTTTGGTTTTTGTCATTTTCACTTTGCCATCTTCAGTTTTGCCTCGTGTTCTTCTTGTGTCACCTTCTTGCTCGTGGTATGCTTTTTGGCCTTTGCATGCATATTGAGCGTGGCCGGGGCGGGTTGAGGGGTCTGAAGAATGGAGCAACTGTGCCCTCCGCAGTGGGTAGAGGTTGATATTATGGTGTATCTATAGCCACACGACTGGGAGGTGTTGCATTTTCTGAATAAATAAGAAAGACTTCGGGAGGTGTTGCATTTTCTGAACTGCGGTCCATCGGTGCCGTGTTGATGTGTGCATATGATGCGATACCCTGATCGTCAGCCATCCCTCTTTTCCTTTTATACTGTCATACCTAATGCATCATAACATAGGGTGACCTGATCTGGCTTAATGCATTTCATTGATGCAAAATCGCATGTTGATTTGAACTGAATGTTCACAAGTGCCATTTTCCGCAGAAGTGCCAGTTTCTGCAGTTAGCAAAAAATAGACCTGACTGCACAGTGAAATTGCCACTCTGTGGCTCCGAGAAAATCCCATGAAGAACACAGGTTCTTCAAGATGCAGAGCCAAGGAGGCTGCGAACATTGTTGGTTGGCTGGCAACATATGCCAAATCGTGGTATTCTGAGGAAGAAGGAAAGTGGATTGAATTTGTTGGTAGGATTGTGAAGTAAGATCTGTCTGGATATGTATGTACTGCCCGCAAACTTAGCCACGATAACTGCAACTTGGTCTGTCTGTTCTGTATTTTTCTTGCGGGCGAAGAAGTGAAGGGCAGTGGCAGAGCTGCATAGGATTCCTGGCTCTGTATGAAAGAAGTTAGATTGTGACCTCTACATGGTTTTCAGTCTGTCTTGATGGAATGGAACGACCGTACAGCATCAGGTAGAGGGAGCGTGAAGAGTCAGTGGGAACCTGTGTAAGTAGAGAAGGCTGAAAGACTTTACACCCCTCAACAGTGTAATCAGGCAAATAACAGCAGTTGGTTGGGGAAAACTGCAGTGAGTCACACTGGAGCAGACCCAACACTGCCAAGTCCATAAGTGGTGGTGCATAAGCTGTTCAGTTGGATATGAGGAATCCAATCACCAGTCATTCCTACCCTGTGCTTATGTGCATGCACGCTTGTGTGCATGAGAGAGAGAGAGAGAGAGAGAGAGAGAGAGAGAGAGAGAGAGAGAGAGAGAGAGAGAGAGAGAGAGAGAGAGAGAGAGAGAGAGAGAGAGAGAGAGAGAGA